AAACAGTAACAATCTAGGCAGCAGTAATCCCAGCTCAGGCTGGGGCCATGTGGGGGAAGGAGGGAGAGTCAGTTGTCTTGTGTGTAGATGAATGAGAAATGGTAATAGCGTAATTGCTTTCACAATCTGTTTGTTTTGCTGACAGTAGCAGCTGGTTACTGTTTCGATTCTTGGTTTTCATGTTAAGACAGGGGAAGAAGGTGTGAAAAGAAAAAGAAAAAGAATAGAAAATCCAAACATAATTTCTTGGAGACCAGGAAAATGGTCGGAGAAACATGGTTGAAAACACAGATGGTTTCCATCTTTCAGACATGGACTAGCCCTCTCATTAAGTTGATCTTGTATTGTTGTGTAACATGCATAGATTCTTACCACATGCTGTCACTCTCTCTACTCCTGCAGCTAGAATGCCCTTTCTCTCTGTCTCAGCTGTTCTAAATTCTACTCTTTATTTCAGGCTCACTCCTTCCATGGTATGTATGACCCTCCCACCTTCCTCTGAGCTCTTCCTAGTCTGTATCTGTGCTGTGCTAAGTAGCTTCAGTTGTGTCCGATTCTTTGGACCCTATGGACCATAGCCCACCAGGCTTCTCTGTCCAGGGGAATTTTCCAGGCAAGAATACTGGAGTGGGTTGCCATGCCCTCCTCCAGGGAATCTTCCCCACCCAGGGATCAAACCAGCATCTCTTATATCTCCTGCATTGACAGGTGAGTTCTTTACCACTAGTGCTGCCTGGAAAGCCCCTAGTCTATATCACCTGGAATTTATTCATGGTCTTAATATGTTTAGTCTTGTTCTCTTATCCTTTAAAATTATTTTAATTTTTTAGAATTTATTTATTTGACAGAGTGGCCTGTGGGATCTTAGTTCCTCAGCCAGGGATTGAACCCCTGCCCCCTGCAGTGGGAGCTCACACCTTAACCACTGGATTGCCAGGAAAGTCCTGTTCACTTATCCTTTTATGTGTGCAAGTCTTGTCTCCTCAACAAGAGTTTAAGCTTATTAAGGGAAGGAACTATATTTCTATTTCTCTTCCATTTCCCATAGTGTCTATATATTCACTTAATATACATTTATTGAGTTACCATGTGCCTAAACTGGGGTTCAGGTGATGGGGATGCAAAAATGAAATATATATATATATATATATTTCCTCTTCACTAGTGGAGCTAGTAATGAACTCATGGTTTAATAACTGCCTATAAAAGTGTTGAACACATAATGGTTCCTCAGTAGAGGTTTGATGAATTGATGAACCATGCTGCTTTTTGACTAGGCATTCAATGAATGAATGAATGAATGAAATTACTGGATAACAACCCTGCAAGCTGTTCCAGGTGTATCCCTCCCTTATGAAACCAGTTCTCACAGACTTAAAGGTGTGAGACTGGTTTGAGGGGAGAAGTGCTCTCTAGAGGCATCAAAACAGAGAGCCTAATGTCTTTTCAAGGCAGTGTTCACTCTTTCCTTAAGGCCTATTGATTAAAACACAAAGCATTTTACAGGCATTGGTGAATACCTTTTGCCAATTTGTGTCATTCAGGTTGTGAATTATGAGAACTGTGTCCATTTTTCATAATAAAAAACAGTTATTATTGAATATTGATTATGTGCCAGATATTTTGCTGATTTCTTTACATGAATTATTTAACTCCTAACAACAACCCTATGAAGTAGATATGATTATTATCCCACTTTACAGAAGAGGAAACTCAGGCACAGATAGGAAGCAAGAAAAGACAGAACTTGAATCTAGGAAGTCTGCTGTCCAGGCGATGAATTGGGAGAGTGGAGAGCTGAGTTCTTCAGCCTGCCCTGCTGTATGCTTGCTGTGTGACCTGCAGAAATCATCTCAGCTCTCTGGTCTTCGGCCCCTTCTTATCACCAATCTTAAAGCCTATTCTTTTGAATTCAAGTCCTCTGCTTCTCCACCACTATCAATTGCCTAAATCTGGTTGTGATCCCCTAAATCTCATCTTTCATCTCCTCGTAGTGTAAGAGGCAGCTTGTGATGTTGTGTTATTCATAACTGGAGCATCCTTTTCTGAGACATTATATATGAAGACCTTGATGACTTCTTGAATGTCTTGGTTCATGGCTGCAGCTTATGGAACTGCAGAAGGACCCTTGAGCCCAATTTCTTCCTGTGACTCCATCCCTCAACTCCTAGTTAAGTAAAAATATTTCCCAGTATTCAGGATGCTTGTTATTATGAATCCATTCAGAGGACACAGCCAAAACCAGGCACTAATCAAAAGGAAGGTGGTGGGTCTGATTCATTTCTGTGTGTGGAGGTTGATCAACACAGGCAAGAGATTGAGACCAGGTATCATGAAAGAGTAGGCGTGAGTGGATTTGAAAGGTCCATTTCTCTGAGGAGCCTCCACATAGAAACTGAAGCTGCTCAAATCCTCCATTTTGTCCCTTCATAGCTGGAATTTTTCCTCCCTTGTATGCAGACAAAGGATAATTATCTGAACAAGTGTGCTTGGTTAGCTGGCATCACTGTTTTAAATTGGTATGCTTAAATAAAAATTGGCTTGCTGTACCCCTCATGTTGTTATTTGACTCAGCTGTCCCTGCTTAGCCTCTCTTGTCCGTGCATCAAGAGTAGCTGTGTGTTGTTCTCACCAGGGCAGCCTCTGGCTGGGGTGCCTACTAGTGTCCTTTCCTAGGCAACCTGGCAGGATGGTTTTCATGTCCCTGTCCTCACTTCCTCCCCTGCTTCCAATTTCCTCTTGTTGTTGTTTTCCAGAATCATTTGCATGGTTCTCCTGGATGCATTTTCCCCAACCTTCTCCATCCCTGCATAAAATTCTACAGAGAACAGGGACAAATATCTCCTAAAGAGAAATCAATCTCTCCCCCGGCCACCCCACCCCTTCTCTCCCTTTCTCTCGCTCTCACACACACAAACACACAGAATGGATGGCAGATTTCATTTCTCTTCTGACCTTATTGTGCTCCCAAATATCAAATCAAGATCACTCCCCAAACCCAAACCCAAGCCTAAAAAGCAACACAGAGAAAGAATCACTTTTCTTCTAGGAGATGAATGCACCCCTTTGGGGATCCTCCTGAGGTTATTGAAGGGCTTAATTTCTGAAGAATTCTGCTTCTGTCAGTTTTGCATGTATTCCTGTGTGTGTTATGAGTTTGTAAAGATGTCTTCCTTAAGCAGAAGTTAACTTTGGTTGTAGGTTATAATTCTAAGTGTGAATGTGGGAGAGAAATGTTGGTGAGGACAAAAATCCTGTTTTGTCATTTAAAAGGGATTCAAAGGGAAGTCCTGGTACCCGCCTCCTGGGAGGCAGATCTCTGGGTCAGATGGGATGAACCAGAGGAGGGAACACTTAAACTTTGTTTACAAACCAGCATAACATACAATGACAAACGAATTCACGCAGGGGCACCCACAGCTTTAAATGGAGGAAAGAGCTGGGAAACGAGTGCTGGCACAAGGGCAGTACTGAGACAATTTGGGAAAGTTTCTTGGAGGGATCGGTGCGCGGCGAGCGGGGCTGGGAACCGTGGCTGAGGGAGCGCACACCCGGGCTGCCTTTCCCGGGGTCTCCTGGTGGCGAGCTGGGTGAGGTGCTCTTTGGACAGGCCCGCTCTCTGCGTCCCTCCATCACCGATCTCGCCGTCTCTCTCGCCTCCTCCATGCCATCCCCGGCTCCCTTCCTCCACATCCACTCCTCCTAGCTCCCCCTCGATAATCTCCTGATAGCTCTTCAAATCCAATTATCGGATTAATTGACGTGCTAACCCAGAGGCAAACAGAAAGGGGCGGCAAACACCGGTCGGCTCAGATTTATCCTCCGGCCTCAATAGGCCCCGGCCGGGCGAGATTTACTGGGCCTCGAACACGGCGACAGTTCAAACCTTTGATTAATCATGTTTTTCTCCCGGCCCCATAATTTAGTTGCTCTTTTTCCCTCCCTGCTTTTTTTTTTTTTTTTTATCAGTGGAAACAGACAGAGTCCTCATCAGCTTCAATTACAAGTATTAAGCCCCCGGACAGCACTTTGACAGAGAGGCGGCCAGTCCCAACTCCTTCCCGCCCCCCTAAATCATCCCCGAATTAACATCACAATCGGCGGCTGGCGCGCGTTCAGATTTAAATGGTGGCATATTGTTCGCGGACGGTCTAGTTCAGACCAGCGGGTTCTCAGTTCCCGGCGGCGGCCCCCGCCGCTCCCCCCACTGCCCCCTCCTGCCTCCTGGGAGGCTGTGACTCAGGAGCCGCGGGAGGCTCCGGAGCCGGGTCTCCAGCAGCGGAGGCTGCAGGCGGGGGTGCACCGGGGTGGGGGCGAGCGGACTGGTGAGAGGGGGTAGAGTGAGGAGCGGGGGGCGAGTCAGGCACGGAGAGGGAACTGCAGATGTAAGGTGGAGGGGAGGGGGGCCGAGGCCGGGCAGAGGCGGGTGAGTCTGGGGGTAGCGGGAGAACGGCATTGATGCAAATGAGATGCAAATAAAGATGCAGAAACCACGGGTTTGAGAATGCCACTATATAGCTACTATATGGCCGCCTCGACCTTGGCACGGTCTGCAGGGCATCCTTGGGTGGTGGTGGAGGGGCCATTCTGTAGGGAAATCTCTTGCTCTTTGAGTCTTGCGGTGTGAAAGAAGAACGTGGACAGGATTTCTCGTTTCCTGATCATGTTAGAGAAAATGGTTCATAAACTACAGCCGGGAGGCTTGAAGGTAGGCCTCAGAAAGGACTTCCTAAGTGGGAAGACTGAGTATGAGGCTGGAATACCTCCTGATGATTTTTTTGGATTAGAAGACCTTGGAAGCAGCCAGATTTCTCTGAAGGCGTTTTGGGGAAACGGTAACTATTTGCCTCTGTCCCACTGCGGAGGAGAAAAGGAAGAGTGATTCCCCTGACCCCATTAATCCTTTAAGAATGAAGGAGCTCAGGAAGAAAAATGACAATCCAAGAGTCTAGGTTTCCAGATATTTTCATATCCACCTGTCTCTCCGGTCTTGCCCGCAGCGATCTCCAGGACCTCATTTCTGCCTAGCAACATCACAACCAATCAAGATGCAATTAGGCCTGGCAGTTCGGCTCATCCTTCACTGGGATTGGCTGCTGGCGGTGAGCGCATCCTAAGTTTTCATTGGCTGACGGCCACCTGTATGGAAATGAGAATGACAGGGGACTCTCAGCGCCGTCTCTGCGACGTGGACCTGTGGCTTACAGCACTGAAACCTGCAAGCTCAGAGCCAGAACTCCGGGGCTTTTTTTCTGCCTCTCTCCCTGTTCTTCCCCCAAAACGATATCTCAAACTTTCCCCTCAGCGCCTCTGTCTGACACCCAGTCGGAAAGAAATTCGCAAAAAATAAGGCGAATTTGTATGCTTTTTTGCATTTTCTTTGCCTTCTCTCGGTTCTGTATCAAGATTTTGCCCCTTCCGTCCAATGCTATGACAGTTTTTGCTCCTTTCTCGCTTCCATGTCCATCCAAGGGGCGGCTTCTCTCCGTGTAGAGTCCCTCAGTCCCTGCCCCCTGTTGCCTCAAACCCTCCCTTCGGGCTCAGCTCCACCAAATTCCCAATTGCCCCCTCTCAGGATCCAGGCGCCTCGCATAACCGTCTAGAGCCTACTTTAGAAGGGAGTTAGAGGGGGAGAGGACTCCCACACCTCCCCCCAAAAAAACCTCCATCCTCGTTCCCCATCCATTTTCTCCGAGGGAGCCGAGTTTGACAGCGAATTCATTCCGAGAGGGGAGGGTGATTTATTCTTCAAATATACCGACAAGTGCGGGCATGATGGAGCCCATTAAAATGTTGGGAGATTGTTTTTATGATTGAAGTCTGTATTACTCCAACCATAAAGAAAGAGAGCAAGGAGTCATTAGCATTTTCATGATGGTGTATTTCTGCTTGTCTCCGCGCCATCACTCATCTTTACTGCCCGTCCCTTTGCTCTCGCTCTGCTACAACGAGGAGAGACTGCAGCCTGAGTTGGGGTTGGGGGTGGGGGGAGGCGGGGGCCAGAGATCCCCTCGCCACTCTGCCCTTCACGCCGAATCCTCACCCTCCCTGGGACGCAGATCATGGGGTGAGAGGCCGAACGCAGACAATGATGTGCCTCAGCTTTCTCCAGCCTGCTCTCCCTGCCCTTGACTGATGGAAACTGGGGGTCTTGTCCAAGTGGTGCTTGGAGATCCGCACAGACCTGGGTTGAGAAAGGCAGAATACCCCTTCCTTCCTTTGGCCTTCACACCATTTAGACCTTTCCAGGGTTATCCATATATAGAGAAAGTCAGAAATTCCTGGCTGAGTGCCCTGGACTGGAGACATGAGAGTAGGAGAGAACAGAGGGAGGAGGCCCCAAGTCCCTAGGTTTGGAGACTGTGTTGGGAGGAAGTTGGAAGCCTGGACCTTTGGCTTCTGTCTTTGCTACTCCCTCTTTAGGGTTAAAGTCTTCTGTCACCACCCTGATTCCCCTGCTCCTGCTCTCTTAATTCCTTAAGTCCTTGATTCTTTCTACCCAGTACTCACAGGTACTCCAAGGAACAAATTCATAACTTCCATGAGAATAATGGAGCTCAAAATAATCATTGTCAAGGTAAGAGCTTAGAGAAAGTTGGTTACAGGTGAAACAGTGTCTACAGGAACCCAGGATTGTGGGAGTCACCTGTCCTCACCCCTGGCTCCAGACAAGACTCATAACACAAACATTCATTCTAGGTTGGACACAACCTTGCCTGCATACCCTATTGAGCCAAATTGTGTGGTGGCACTTGTGTGAGCATTGGTTGGGATAAAGGCTAGTTTAAGAGTGGTGAGAAAATGGAAGCATTAGCTCCCAAGAAATCAGTGGTGATAATAACAATTAGTAGACCACTTTCTTGTTAGTTCAGTGCTTTCTCATGGATGTCTTGCAACAACCTGAAAGGTAGGTTTATGACTGCCATTTCACAGATGAGGAAACCAAGGCTCAGGTGAGTGTGTGTGTGTGTGTGTGTGTGTGTGTGTGTAGGTGTGTGGAACTTAAGATCACTTAGCTAGTAAACTGGGCTGTTTTCATTATCTGATACTGCCTGAGAAGGAGTTCAAGAGCTCTAAAGTGGAAGCCAAGATGACCCATAAACTTCATCTGAGTTTATAAGAAGGTGGGGAAGACTCTCTAGTGAGTGTTAAATATTTTGGGAGAAATCTTAGTAGGAATAGTCATCCCTTGGCCACCAGAGCTGGGTACCTAGTGGTGGTTAGCATTGCTAGGATTAACCCTTCTCTCATTCAGGGAACATTTATTGAGCAGCTAGTATGTGTCATCTTCTGACTGACCCCTCCCCTTTCACAGATCTCCTCCTCCTTTTGAGAGGGGTATATGATAGGACTCTGGGGTCCTGGGCAGGGTTAGAGCCCTGGGCAGCTGGGCAGAGATGGAACAAAGTGGGGTACAGAGGTGAGAACCCCTCTACAGCCTGCACAGTGCCCAGAGGCAGTTGCAGCAGCAGCCCCAGATTTACAACTGCCCTGGCGCTGATGCCATAAAAGCAAACGATCCTTCTCTGTACTAATTTCTGTGTAATTAGATCTCTCCTGGCATGGAAAGTGGGGAGTGGAGGTGGCCAGGAAGGGAGGGTACCAAGGACTCTTCACAGAGGTGGAAGGAGGGGTTGTGGGACACACATGGCTTCATGTGGCGGAGCTTGGGCACAGGGATCTGTGTGCACTGTGACAAAGATGGAAAAGGAAATCATGCACACACGGAATGTGAGGAGGCAGGAGTCCTGATATAGTAACACCCTTGTGCCCAGGATAGGGACAAAGCTGGTGTCCTGCACAAAGATCCTGAAGCCAGAAGAATAACTCCTGTGTACACATAGGAGGAATTGAAATCCTTGGAGGAGTTGCATACAGATACCCCCACAGGCAGCTAGATAACCAAAATCCCACAGAGAAACCTGAAGAGTAAAAAAAAAAAAAAAAGTGTGGCCCCATCACATTTACAAAAGATTATAGGTGGCTCAGATAGTAAAGAAATGCACCTGCAATGCAGGAGACCCTGGTTTGATTCCTGGGTTGGGAAGAACCCCTGGAGAAGAGAATGGCAACCCATTCCAATATTCTTGCCTGGAGAATTCCATGGACAGAGGAGCCTGGTGGACTATAGCCCATGGGGTCGCAAAGAGTTGGACACGACTGAGCGACTAACTCACACATACACATGTTTAACCCGCATGAGAGCAGATACACACTTTTCTTAAATGCAAAAATGACAGCACTAAATAGGATCTCAATAAATGTTTGTTTCGTCCTCTGCCCCCACCTATTGCTTGCCCACCTCTTGGAGGCAGAAAACTAAAAGATGAAAAAAGTCTTTTTTTTTTTTAAAGCAAAAGTTTCTTTAAGATATTTGAAGATAGAAAAAAAAAAAAGAATTAGAGGAATGTGGAGATGGTTAAAGAGGGAATGATCTGGAATCTTGACTTTCCTTGGGAAGAACAGTCTTGAACTGGAAAAGCATATAGTTGTTATTATCACTATCCCCCCATCCCACCCCATGGTGACAAACAATGGCCTTGGGTATGGCAGTAATGTCATTTGGGACAACACTTCTACAGAGCTAAGTATTCATTATGCATGGCAGTGTATTCGTGGAGGCACCTCAAAGGGCCTCTTATCCAGGTTCCCTCTGCAGCCCAGATTTCTTTCACAGTAAGCCTGCCAGGGCATCAACCAGCTTCTGCTTCAGTACTTCTCCCCAAAAGGAGCTTTTTACTTCATGAGCAGTTTGCCCTCTGTCACTGGACAGCTGTAATGGATAGACATTTTTCAGTAGAATTGAAATCCGTCCTCTTTTAAATTTCAGAATATACTGTTTCTAACTGCCTGTCGTATCTCGAGTTAGTCTAATGTTTTAAGACCAGTTCAATCAAAGCATTAATCATCCCCCCACAACAGCAATAACAATTAGATACCCATTGGAAAATCAGGAGATTCTGATCTGCACAGATGACTGTCATGTACTTATCTTAAGCCCTTGTTCTAATGGGTAATTCCTGATTAACCTGAGTAATAAAAATGTATCACAATAAAGAAAGATTTGTCATGCCTTGTTATCACTTCATAAGGCTGTCCTTCTACGTACCTGCCATATCATCAGGATATTTCTATCCCAATAAAACACGATCATGATGTGCTTGGCTAATAAAAAGGAAAAAAGCCACGTATTAAAAATATGTTTAAAATGATTTGCGTGAGTGATGTAAATATAAACCACCACCATCATCAGTGTCAACAATATCCTCAGTTCATTTGCCTTTTGAAATCCGTGCCGCATCTTGGGGGTGGGAGGTAAAGAAAAAGGGAGGCAGAAAATTAGCATCTATTAAACGCTTTCCATTGCCAGGCACTGGGCTACACTCACAATTACCCTGTGAGAGGGGTATTAACATGTCTTTCAGGTGAGGAAATTGGACTCAGAGAAGTTAAGTAACTTGCCTGTTAGATGGCTAGTACAGGGAATCAGGATTTTTAACCTAGGTAAGTCTGTTTCCAAAGCCCACACTTTCCCCCCTAAACTCGGACAGGTAAATTTTACTTTGATGCCCGCAGAACCTCAACGAGTGGGTTCATACACTGACATGACGTTAGTGAGGCCTCCCCCTTTCCAGTCTGGACTCCCTGAGGGAGAGCCAAGAGTTCAAAGCCTGAACTTTGTGACTTTTGTGCTCGGTCACATTACTGCCATCACCCAGGGGTGCCCACATATAATCGCAGGTGGTGCTACAGGCACCGCAACCGCTGTACAGCGACACACTCACAAAACGCAGTGTCTTATTCGACCCACGCTGGGGCCCACAGAGGCCGGCGGCTCCTTCTCCTCTCCCCGGCAGTGAGGTGCGCAGCCAGCAGGGGTCGCCGGCACACCAGGAATTACCACTCGCTGGGCCCGAACAGAACGGAATGTTCCTCCTCTGTCTTCTCCTAAAATCTCTCGCTAATCCCTCCCCTTTTCTGCTTTCCTTTTCTAGCACCCCTCCCCTTCCCCAGGCCCTGCAGTTTCCTATTGATGAGCTGGATAGTTGCTCCTTATATAGCCACCTAAACTGCCCAATCCCAGCCCTGACTAGGGACCAGGGTTTCAGGCTGTCAGTCCTGCTTTGGGGATGCAGGTAGCAGGTAAGGAGCCTGGATTGCCCAACCTTCTGGTTCGCCCTTGGCCAATTAAGAGCCTGCCTCTTCTCAGCGCCTTCCCAGCACCATGTCTTGATCATCCATTTATTGTCCCAATGTTCATGTAACGTATGTCCCAAACATCCTGAGACTCCCAGGGTCCCTTAGCTCCATCATCTTGGGACAGCCTAAAAATGAAGGAGGAGGCAAATC